GAGTTCACCCGCACATGCCGCCGCCGAGCGCGGGGCCCCGCCGTGGGGTTAACGACGGCGCGGGGTACGCGAATGAGACAAGCTCTAGATACGAATCACATGCGCAAGACCTCCCCGCTGCGAACAAAACCAACGAACTGTTCCGTAGGCTCGCGTTGAACCTCCCCTCCCCTCCATTCTTATCCCTGTATTCCTGACCCGCTGACCACACTTGAACACGATGGTGCACCCAGAGAAGGCTGCTTTTGATGCCGAGGTCGCGGCGACGGAGAAGTGGATGAAGGTACGGGCCAGTGCCCCTATCGCGCGTCGCGCGTCGTTCACAGGCTGATTCAACGCTTCGCGCAGAACCCCCGCTTTGCGCGCGTCAAGCGCCCATACACTGCCGCGGATGTCGTCTCGAAGCGCGGCACCATCCCAATCAACTACCCGTCGAACATCGTCGCGCAGAAGGCGTACAAGATCTTCGACTCGCACTTCAAGGCGGGCACACCATCACACACCTACGGCGCGTACGTAGACCTTATCTGACTCAATCCCGCATCTTATGCTGATCAATATACAGACTTGACCCCGTACAACTTACGCAGATGGCGAAGTACCTCGAGACTGTCTACGTCTCCGGCTGGCAATCATCAAGCACAGCATCAAGCACCAACGAGCCTGGTCCTGATCTTGCTGGTATGCGTTATTGGGGATACACTGAAGACGCCCATGCTGACTGTATACGCAGATTACCCCTACAACACCGTTCCGAACAAGGTCGAGCATCTCTTCATGGCCCAGCTCTTCCACGACAGGAAACAGCGCGAAGAACGGACACGCCTGAGCGACGCTGAGCTCCAGGCGAACCCTCCTATCGACTACCTACGCCCCATCATTGCCGACGCCGATACCGGACACGGTGGTGTCACCGCGACGATGAAGCTCGCGAAGCTTTTCGTTGAGAAGGGCGCGGCGGGAGTGCACATTGAGGACCAGGCGGCGGGCACGAAGAAGTGCGGACATATGGCCGGGAAGGTGCTTGTTCCCATTCAGGAGCACATCAACCGCATGGTCGCCATCCGCCTCCAATTCGACATCATGGGCGTCGAGAACCTCGTCATTGCGCGTACCGACAGCGAAGCCGCCACCCTGCTCTCGACCAACGTTGACGGGCGCGACCATCCCTTCATCCTTGGCACGACCAATGCCGACCTTCGCCCGCTCGTTGTCGTCATGCAGGAGGCCGAGGCTCAGGGAAAGCATGGCGCAGATCTCCAGGCCGTTGAGGATGCATGGCTTGGCGCCGCAAACCTCCGCTTGTTCCCGGATGTGCTCGCGGACGCACTCGCACAACAGGGCGGCGCATCGGGCGACAAGGTCGCACAGTTCCGCGCCAAGATCTCGCATGTCTCCTACCCCGCCGCCATCGACATCGCAAAGCGCGACTACGGCTTGAAGAACATACCCTTCTGGGACTGGGATGCACCCCGCACGATGGAGGGCTACTACCGCTACCAGGGTGGCACGCAGTGCGCGATCAACCGCGCCGTCGCCTTCGCGCCCTACGCCGACCTGCTGTGGATGGAGACGAAAAAGCCGATCTACTCGCAGGCGAAGGAGTTCGCCGAGGGTGTGCACGCGGTATACCCGGAGCAATGGCTCGCGTACAACTTGAGCCCCAGCTTCAACTGGGAGGCGGCGGGACTTGGGCCGCAGGAGATGCAGAGCTATGTGTGGGATCTCGGCAAGCTCGGGTTCTGTTGGCAGTTCATCACGGTACGCCGCGCAAGTGTCACTTGCTCTACGGCTTATATTCACGTCACTTCAGCTCGGCGGCCTGCACTCGAACGGTTACATCTCGGACCTCTTTGCGAAAGCCTTCGCGAAGGAGGGCATGAAGGCCTATGTCGAGCTCGTGCAGCGCAGGGAACGCGAGATTGGTACGGATATGCTCACCCACCAAAAGGTACGTGTATTTTTATAGTCTGACTACACTTGCTGACAATCTCGCAGTGGAGTGGCGCGGACTACATCGACAACCTGATGAAGACCGTGACGGGTGGTATCTCCTCGACTGCCGCTATGGGCAAGGGTGTAACGGAGGCTCAATTCACGAAGACGAAGATGTAGTTGTATACTCACTGAATCTCGCATATATGTATTGTATATCTAGACGTCATTGCATATCTGCATACTGTACCCCGCCATAGCTTACAGCGAGAGATAGTCACCTGGTGTCACTGCGTCTTGACATCAGTAGTCTCATGATCCCCGCATCGCAATTTGCATGGCCTTTTTGAAGGGGGAACTTGGGGCATTGTTGAATGCGTGTTGTGCTGGTGTGCGGCCTGATGGCGTCAGAGGCCATCCCGTCATTGTGGGTCTCCATGGTTAATTAAAGGAAACTCATGTGACCGTGTCTTTGCGGCTCCTGTTGCCGCGCGTCGTGGTTGTGCCGTTGTGGTTTGCTCTGTGGTTTGCTCTCGTATATCACAAAGTCTTCGCAACGGCCTTCCAGATGCATTCCTACTCGCCTTCTTCCTCAGATACACATCTGTGTCAATTCGATACTCGCGAATAAGCACATCTTGAGATGTATGCGACAAACCTTCGTCCCGAGATGAGACTCTCAAGGATCCAAGAGCGCCTACTGGCGTTGGGGTATTCTGAGAACGATATCAACTCTGGGCGGTTCCGCAAAGAATCATTCCTCACGATGCGCGACCCAGCGAACACTGATAAGAGTTCGTATAATGTTTGACTTGTCTTGCTAGTATGCTCAAAGTCATCTATAGGGCTGCGCATCGAGCCACAAGCAAGTCAAGCACCGGACAAGATCATCGAGGAGCGCACACGTGTGCGGCGCGCAAAACGAGAGAATGCGGCTCAGCTAGAGTACCAAAGCATCCGAAACGAACATCCACTGTGGTTCGGCTCAATCTTGCCCAACTCAATCAAGAGCATAAATTTCCCCTCTCTTAAGGCCATCCTCGAGAATGACGACGAGGTCCTTCCAGAGACGCGCCTATCTCTGAGGGAGGCTCTGTTGGCCGACATCAGATTCCTTGAACCAGAGGTGCATCGCCTTGTTGAACTCTACATACGCGACTTGCCACCTACATGGCCGCGGACCGAGCGACGGCAACCTCTGGGCGTATGTGACATTTCGAGTGATAGGATGAAGCTGGTCATCGCATCACGCCTCAATCTCGCTGTTTATGTCTTTCGCTGCGGGTCCCCCAAAGTTACGTCCCGACCAGATGAGAGACATGATGTACACATTGGGATGGAGGGTCTGTTCCACTTCTGTGCTGGTTTTGAAGCTCGACCGGATGCGAGGGGACACGCTATCGTGCTCCGCATTCTTGACCTTCTCGGCTTGAGTCCTGGCGCAACCACCCCTCACGATCTAGACCGACTTGACAAGAGATTCGTCTGCCGCACCTTCAACCACTTGCCGATTCAGGGACCTCGACCAGGTCAAGCTATGACGTGGAGAGAGGTGGTACAAATGGCGTCTCTAACATCCGCGCCTTTACTTGGGCCGGACAATCCCATCCCACGTATCGAACTGCTGCCGCCGCAGGAATTGCCTCGTGAACCTATCCTTCTGTACAAGTTCAGTGAAGAGAATCGTGGTAAGAGAGAGAGCCAGACAGTTGCTTGGATTTGCGCACGAGAATCCTGTCAAGGCGCTGGCTATGTGAGCCTGGCAGGAATGAAAGCACACCTGTTCATGTGAGTGGTTAGTACAACAACCGTTGGACAGGCTGACTGATACATCTGCATGAGCAGAGATGGCATCTGGGAGGGTGTCGAAGGACAACATTATCACTACGCGCAACCTGCCATACGGCCAGGAGCGACGACCATTCAGGAGATCTGGATGTAGAGAGTGGCAAAGACGCGAGGTAGCTAGTATATTGTACACGTGGTGCAGAAATGGTGGTCGTAAAGGAAAATTGTGTAGCTAAATATATTCTCTGTACATGACTCGAGCAACGTCAAGTGCTACGCATGACTGCGAGCTGGAAAGGTGTGTTCACACTTTGAGGAATAAGGTCAAGGTGCATGTGAGATTCGCAATGAGTGCATTGAACCTAGCATCACGATTCAAGGTACGGCAAGAGGCAGGTCATGGCGCGCGTACGTACCGTGCTCGTGAATATCGCGTTGGGTGATAGATGCGGGGCGGCGCAGTAGGGAACCATAGGCGGGAAATTGCGTGCGTTGGAAAGGTTCTGGCACATCACGCGGACTGCGAGGAGTTGATACGAGAGATCCTCTACGCGCGCGCGTAGCCTTGAGATTTCGTATTCGAGCGGCGCGCCATTGTGAGGTATACCATGTCCGTTCTGCTCCTCGAAGTTGGGGGACTCCGGACGGGGAAATGAGGGAGGCGGAGATGGAGCGCAGCTTGCTTCATCCTGCGGGACGTCGGGCGGACCGGTGTACAGCAGGTCACCCCTGGCATCCGGCGCCGGCGCCAAGTCAAGCGATGAAGTGGATCGGTCGAGTTCGTCGCAGATATCGTAGTGAAGGGCCCTATTCATTTGCTCCCTGCGGCTGACATCGAACTACTTACAGTTGAGCACACGACACGATTCAGCTCGTCAGGACTCGGGGAAACACGTACATCGTGTGTCGGGCGGCGACGCCTTGAGATGCAATCCGGTTGTAGAACATCGTCGACTGGGTGAATGGTGTTGAAGCTGGCAACGCGCCGATATGGTCTAGCGGTGGTAGTTCCATTGCGTTCATACTCGGCTAGCGACGCAGGTGAGCAGTTTTCGAGTACAGGACTATTGCTTGTGAATGACAGATTGGCCGACATGTTGAGAACGTCGCGCGTGTGGAAGAACTCGCGCTCGCGTCGCTTCGCGGCCGCAGAGGCACCACCCTCCGAACGAGGCGATGGTTGATACTGGGATCACTATCAGTACAATGAGTGCGAGATATATCATGTCACACGTACAACAGGTACTTCCGAGTGCCCAAGCCCACTCGGAGGATTGGAGAAGCGGCGCACCGGGCGCTCAGATAAGCCCAGTCCACACCGAAAGGTCGTTGGGAATGCCGCGGGAGTCGACGTCGCCGGCAAGATCGTCAGCGGGGCGCCATCCGAGGAGGAAGGCTGCAATGGCGTAGAAAGGAGCTGCAGCGGGTGCGGCGTAGGTGAACCAGTTGGCGTAGGCATTTGGGACAGGGCCGGAGTAGGCGAAGGGGAATGGCATGAAGCTAGGTGAGCGATGGGTGGGTAGTAGTGTGTGCGAAAAGGCGCTGGATGGTGCGGCTCGCAGCAATACTTGGCCGTGCTTTATAGACTCGACGCTACATCCCTTTTAGATCCTCTGCCACAGAGTCCTTTCACAGTCAGTATCACGGCTTAGATCGAGAAGAACATCATCTAACAAAGAAGAAAAGGGACAAAGAAGCGTTTCCTGCAGTCTGAACATGAATATGCTCGCATGTCGAGGATGATGACCTCTATAAACTGGTCTTCCAACGACTCGAGCGTCTTCAGCATGAGGAACAGTACACCAGCGTTTGGCGGTAAAAGTGTACTTGATGACGAGTCCTATGGTATGTCGAACTGCATGCTTTCTTCTTCGTCAAAGAACCAAACGGGTGCCTCAGGCGCCACAGCCTCATGCCATCCTCGCTGTTCGCGCATTGCTGATGGCGAGTGGCTGGCCTGGATTAGAGGAGGCTCCATCACCTTTAGACTGAGCGTGCTCTGCATACTGTCGTTCGGACGCAGACGACGACAGCTAGCCGTGTAATTGCGTACACTATGGCGCAACCTCCACTTCTTTTCGGTATAAGTACTTGGCGCCGTGCTCAGAAGCAACCTTCGTTTCTCACTACCGTCACCGCTAGCACGACGATTTGGTGTCCACAGCGTACTGCTGGTCATGATCAGCGCTTGATTCAACAAGAAGTTCATCTGAAAACGGGGCTCACCGTCTCTCTTCGGCCGGCGGCCACCTTGCGAAGATCCAGTCTTACCCGCCTCCTCTCTCCGAAGTCATGCAGCTGTTCCTGGGTCGTGGCAGTATGCCCATTCTCAAGCGGCATGCAGGGCATGCTCCGTTGTATTTGATACATGTACAGGGAGCCTCTCTCTCCTGATCATACGTGCGTCGGTGCAATGGAAGCGCTGAGAGACCTGGGCGCGTCGCGCGCGCTCGTTCGGCGACCCACGTTTCCACGCACCGTCATCGGGCGTTCTTCCTTCTATCAGTCTTCGAGCTGTACCCATACCCTGGAAGAACCATTAGCGCCTACGTTCTGAGGGAGTAGCTCTGCGGTATCCCTAGCGTCGACGTTGTCCGGGGCGACTAGCATGACGTCTCAGACGCTCTTAACGGTCTTTGCCTCCGGTTGTTGCGGTCAGGGCGGTGGCGCGTCGTATTTTTATCCAGATTGCACCGGCCCAACGTGTGCGACGGCATCAGTTGTAATGACGCTGGACCGTGCGATACCCTATATATACTGCAGGAATGGTTAGCGGCAGTCTCTAACCGCGCTCGTTGCCACCCCACCCGCAGCCATGGAAGCCCCTCAGCCCGCTATCGTCAAGAACGCCCAGCCCCAGGCTGTCGAGATGAGTATGTAGCATGCCCCATTTTCTTCGAGCTATATTGACCTCGCTCTGTAGACGCCATGTCTCCCGCGCCCGCGAGGGCTAACGGCCAACAACACCACCAGCACAAGGCCGAGCGCGTCCGCGGTGGTGGTGCCGGAAAGGTCTGCAATGTTATCGTACTTGCTCGTCCGTGTCGCTGAATATGACGCAGGACTGCTTCCTCGGCATGATTGAATGCTTCCTTTGCTTCGAGTGCTGCAAGGACTGCTGCGAATGCTGCGCGGATATCATCTGTGAGTACAAGTCGATGATCTGCATGCGGCTATGCTCATAGGTTTCTTCAGGCTGCCCGTGCGAGATGTGCTGCTAAGCGCGCGGTATCTAGGCAATGCCTCTGCCACTGCCGAGTTCCCAATGTGCATGTTGATTCGCCGGACCTCGAACGCTGCTACGTTGTACTTGTATCACAATACCATGACGAACTTTTGGATGCCCTGCTAAGGCCATCTCCCCTCGTGAGAGTGTCGCGCTGCTGGAACGTACGGACCATGAGAAGCGAATACAATAGCGGACCAAAGTCCGAGGGTCACAGCGGACGTCAGTGCGATGACATCACTACTGTCAATCGGCTGGAGACCTATGTATCGTACTTTTTCTAAGTACGCGAGACTATCAGTGGATGCTCTATGTAAGCCATATGCATGTTTGCATAGCGATGCTCCTTGATGCTCTAAGAACGCCTGCCATTGGCGGTTCCAAGCCGTTGCGTGAGTTTATGCACCTGATCTGATGGTCGGTCAGTATAGGAGTTCTGCTAGTTAACCTCTCAACAGACCTTGATACCACAAAGCGGTAGCGTGTTGGTTTTTATGGCGCTGACTGTAGCCGGCGCCACAGGCAGATGAGGTCGCGGGGAACCGCTGGAGGGAGCGTTCAGAGAGAATTGTGGATCCTCAACTCCTTTGCGGATCTATGACTACGCCCACGGCGGCGCTGAGTGCATCCAGTCGCGTACTTAGAGCTGCTACGTCGTCCGGAGTCGGCCGTTTCTCGCCTTGAACTGCGCTGGTGGTGCTTGTAGATACACCGCCCATGAGATCCTCGAGCTGCTCCATCGCCCTCCTGTCTCTGATCTCCTCATTCTCGTCCAGATCTTCACCGGTCATGGCGAGATGCTCAAGAGCGTGAGCCTCAGCCTCCTCGTCACGCGGTGCAATGTCTGCAAATCGAATTTGACTGAGGGCAGTGGCAATATCTTGGGCTTCAGTGGCGCATTTCGAGGCATCGGGATCCGGATGTGTAGACAGGAAAGCCGCAAGAGCCGATGCTCTGCCTCGCAGAAGGCCGAGAGAACGTCCGAGCGGGAGGCCGACATGCGCATAGCCAGCATCGAACCCTTCTTGCAGAGCATCTTCCTTCCCAGACGTGATGCCCTCTCGATATCCGGCCTAAAGACCGTAACACAGGGACATGAGACGTTGAAGATCAAACAAAACGCAAGTAGGACGGACATTGGTGAAGTCGGAAGAGATTTTTGTCCACTCGGCGTCGCGAACATCGCTCGGATTTTCATCCCAGGGGGAGTCAGAAGGACCGTCATGGGCACTGTTAGCAAATTCGTATGCCATGATTAGGTAGCTTAATAGATGCAGAAACAGCCAATGGTGGTAGCTTGTAGAGATAGCGGACACCGGAGATCTGTCAAGCGCCGGGGCGGCAGCCATCGCGCTTCTTGCTTCCCACCATGATGACAACAGCCACGAGCTCACTGCATCTCCCCGACTCTCCCACTCCTTCAATTGTGTGGCCTGTGCCTTTTTGGACCGGTCTCGATAAGCAGAGACGTACCCGGTAAACGTTCTTGGTATAGCGAGCATCACAAGCATGGACTCGTGCCCAACGCTTTCGCTTCGTGTCCCGCAGCAAGCCGGGCGTTGAATGGTTGAAGGCGATTCATCACTGCTCCAGTCCGCTTCTGGACGGGGACGCGCCAATCTCAGACAGATCCATCTGCTCGAGGACTGTGGACATTGATCATCTCTACCGCCCCCCGGCGTCATTTCCATGTACTTCAACTTGTCTCTTGCACCCACCGTGCTCCTCTTGTATCAATCCGCTTCCTCCCTTATATGCCTTGCCGCCACTGAGGCTCCCGTTGACCCTTCATCTACTTGCTCGGCATGGCGCATCCCTACGGGCGTACATTTTCTCCCACTCCCGATGAGAATCGGCCATATCCTACTCGCCGAGCATCTAGCGCGCGGCCCGCAGGTCGCGCTGCACCTCCTCCTGGCTCCACCCGCAAGGAGTCAGTGTCGGCGGACAAACACCCGCGGCACGCTGTGACAGAGAAGCCTCTTCCTCACCGCCCCCAGTCCGCATACCACCATCATTCAAGGGACAATAGCCGAGAGACGGACGCGATGACCATGATTGCGATGAAGTATCGCAAACACTACGTGCGACAGGAGGGCACGGTGACACTCGTCCTGTCGGGCCATAGTGGATCCGGTGATTTGCCTGTCTACCATAGCGGTAGCCTGGTACGAGGGCTAGTGACCCTCTTGAAAACGGACAGTGTGTCCTCCGTAGTCGTGAACGTACGTCTCGCTACTCGATCCGGCATGTGAAGCTAGTAACGAATCCCACGAACATGCCTCATAGGTGGAAGGCTCGGTGCGGGTGCGAGATCTGCAAGGCGGCGACGGCGCCTCGTACTTTCTATCAGAGACGTTGTTCTCATGGGACGGACATGGGACAGCGCCGCACGAGTTCAACTTTGAGACGTCGATGGGGACGTTCATTCCTCCTACGTCTGAACGGCGACTCCTTCCTCCCTCGTTCTCGGCGAGACTCAGTCAGATCCTACCCGGCTTCAGCGTATCCGTCCGCTATGAGTTTGTCGTTAGCGTCATGAGAAATGCGGGGCCACTGGAGTTTTGGAAGCGGCGTACACGGTACGTGTCTCCCTCGTGGCGTCTTAGTGTTTGCTGTGCTGATGATCCTGTCAATAGACTACGGGTACCTTTCACATTCAAACCTCTAACTCGCCCGCCCGCTCCAGGTCCGTTCCCGGCGAGGGCTTTTCGCGGAGGGTCTTTGCATCCTCAGACTCTTTTCATTGACTCTGTCCCTCCGCGCGAGATCGGCGCCGATCCGATCGAGAGTCACGTCTTTTTACCAGGAGGTCAGATAGTGCCAGCAGCGGACCGTATGACATTCATCGTATCATTACACGCCCGCGACGCCATCCTGGCGCCGTTGATCCACGGCGCGCCAATCCTGCCGTCTTTCCTCCCCATCAGCCCATCACCACTTCCAGCGTCTTTGCCTTGCAACTCTGCCAATGAGAGCACCCAGAGTCTCGGGAGTGGAACGAGGAGTCGCCCATCTATCGTGAATCGCCTACTGGAGGCCCCCGCTACACGGGCACCATTGAGCGTTCGCTTGGAGCGACATATCGTACTTGATGCTCGAGACCCGCGGGGTGATAAACTGGGCTCCGGTATAGGATGGGTACGCGGGAGAAGGATTCTGTCAACTGAGGTCCTTGCGGAAGGTCAACTGCAGCACGCTAAGGCCGGCAATAAGCGTGTGCGATGGCGAGGAGCATTGGACATTCCTTCCGGCGCATCCTGTCCAGGATTCGCAGCAGGTCGGCTCAGTGTACAGGTGCGTGTCGAGTATTGATGCGCAAAAGGGACTGTAGACACTGACGCCACAACCCGCAGGATTTTCTCGTCATCACTATCGATATGCCAGGCATGCAAACGCACGAGTTGCCCTTCAGACAGACTATCCCCATTCGTCTAACTTCGCATTCTGCGCGAGCGGCGTCGGCCGTTCAGTTGACAGACCCTGAAGTCTTTTAATCGGGTCCTCGCCGCCCATGGGCATCTCGGCATCGGTGGGACATCGGCGCTCTCGTTCAATGGTCAGATTCTTCGGGTCGGATGTATAGCGCGATTACGGACTTGTATGTACCTGTATGTATCCTTAGTATGGAGAGCCAAGCCTCTGCTCTACCCCTTTCTTCGTCAGCGACAATAGGTTGGTGGCTTGAGTTACTCGACAGTCTATGTACGCAACAACTACCGACCGAGCAAGTGTCGTTCTCATGGAGACCTTCGTTGATGGAGTACGTTCTGGGAACATGAAGACCTCGTGCTATGCTAAAAGGATGGACCGCCCACGAGCGGCCTCGGATGAATCTGCCGCGCGGGACCCTAGCGCGGGACTGTCAATCCGACCGCGATGAGCATGCGCTTCGTTTCGGCCCACCGGTGCCTGCGCACTCTGCTCCGGATACCCACATGAACTTGTGAAGCCATGCTAACTTATTTCTGCTCTCGCCACCATCGTCCTCCATGTCTACTGTGAATCTGCTTGCACGGCCGCCAAGCTATGATTCGCCTCCTCAGATCCACCGAACACCGTCTTACGCCCGAGAGCCTCGGGCGGAGGAGCGCAGACTTGCGCAGGGTTACATCAATCAACGCACTGAGCGTGCTGCAGAATTTGTGAAACAGAATAAGACTGCCAGTATCGTGCTCAGACTTGGTGATCAAGTGGAGGGAGTCGAGATACCAAGCTATGGCATGCGTGCTCCCATTGATGTGCGTTGCAAGTACTGGCGCGAACGATAGTTGGAATTGACGCTCATGTAGGGTGTGGTCGAGCTAAGCAAGCCGGATGGACTGGCGTATGTCTCTGTGAAGGTCTGTGTACCATCTACGTCATTGTGCTGATGGACGATCTGACCGCGTCGTTGCTCAGGTTGAAGGGACGATGAAGCTGCATGAGTTCGGGGAGGGAGGGATGGTCACCGCAACGCTCTGCAGTGAAACCGTCACTCTCTGGCGAAAGGGGATCGACCCTGGGCCATGTCCAGACAGGCTCGACTTCTCGATCTCGCTTCCCACTCAGTACTCAGATGAGAAGGACACTTATGTGCGTGTACCATTTCCTCCCCATTCAGCGAGACGGGAAGCCTGACATTCCGCAGCCTCTCCCACCAACCTTCGAGGCACACCTTTCAGGCCTGCCGGGGTTTCACGCAGATGTGGAGTACCACGTAACAGCCATAGCCAGCAAGACGAAGTTGCCGCTCGGCAAGCTGAATAGTCTCGGGCAATCAGCCGTCAGCACGCCGTTCATCTACTCGCCCCGCACATGTCCCTCGTCCCCCTTGCCGGCGCCTCTGAGAGGCAGTGGAGATCTCCAAGCTCTGCCAGAGAGCTCGGAATGGAAGACGTACGATGCCACAGTGACTGCACGCACTGAGGGCGCGCGATCCGTCAGCGTTCGTTTCCTTGTACCAAAGAGCCATGTTTTCTGCAAGACGGAGCCCATACCCTTCCACGTCTCCTTCGTGAGCTCGGCCGTGACGCTTGCCTCGATGCTACCCTACCTCACCACTGAGGACAATCCGTCTGGGAAATCAAGCACGCGCATTCAGCTGCTCCGCCAGGTCTGCGTCAACGTGAAGGATGAGTACCTGCACAGTAGTACCAACACCGAACTGTGGAAAGTCCAAAAGCTTGGAGAAGGAACGCTGCGACGTGGAGTGAGCCTGCAGCTCTATCAGAGGGTTCTCTGCTGATCCCGTCTTGTCAGGTCGATGGCCCTCGAATGTTGTCATTCTCCGGAGAGATCAACATCGACCAGAGCGTGAAGTCTGGCGCGTTCAAGGCCGGTGGTCTTTGGGTCAAGGATTTCATTGTCTTCCAGCTCAATCCCTCCAACGCACTGAAGGGTCCCATCGGCGATGCACGTATCATCGTACCGGTGCGACTTGTCACAGACCCGTACTCTGCTAATACGGGCACTTACATCGACACACCACCTTCGCGCGTCAGTCCACCGGAGTCTGTGGGACACGAGGACCTGCCCACTCTAGACTTCAATGCACCGTTAAGCTCAAGCAATAGCTCTGATTCACCGGCATAAGGACTAGTGCACGTTATGTCTATGTATCTGTACTCCTCAGCCTATTCCGCAGTCTACGTGTTTACACACTGCCCCCCTTTCGCCTTCGACGTCTGTACTCTGTTTACGGCCTCTGTATGGCCGCACTGTAATCAATAGGATTCACACTTGCTGCTTAGCTCACTCCCGCACAGTTGACCAGTAATATCGTGTATGATTACAGCAACTATGGTAAGGGCTACAAAGCAGACGAGATGAGAGTGGCACAAATAGGACGCAATTTTGTTGTACAGTACGATACATTACTCCCTAAGCACAGGACTGGCTGCGGCGTGATACAGAGGTTACTAAGAGGGGGTACAGGTAAGTTAGCGAGAATAGAAATGTCTTGTACAGATGGACAGCGTACGTCTACTGTGTCGCTCCGGGTCCTCCCAAGCATCGAAGTTACCGTCGGAGACTTCCAGCCATTCGTCCACCCACTCATCGTACGTCCGGCTGATACGGGGATTGTCAAGCATGAATTCGTCACGATCGAGGCACTGCATAGAGCGCAGGACCTTCATATCCTCGGCTTCCAGGTCGCCAGCACCGTATCTCCCACGCTTCTGTAGCTGAACGATGACACGCTGAATGTGCGACGGATACTGCAGCATACGACCGCCAATGGCCAGCTGTCGACTGATAGGAGAGCCTTCAAGAGGGAAGATCTCAGTGGTGGGTATGCGCATTTCGTGAAGCATCCTGAAGAGCTCCGCCTTCCCGCCCAGATAGAAGTCGATGTCGGAGAGGCGTAACTGGGTTAAGTTCGGGCAGTGGTCCGCGAACAGGCGCACAATGCCACCGACGCGGAAGTCGATGTATCCTGCGCCGGTGTAGGCAAGGTGTAGCCGTCGGAGCTTGGGCATGCGAAGAGGGCTGGGCGGGAGGAAGGCATCAGAATGGAAGGGCATGCGGGTCGTCTGCGACAGACTGAGGCTCTCGAGGCAGGGAAAGGTCGTGGTGCCCATGTGCGCTAGAATGAAGCGCTGCCAGGGGTTCCGTGTCACACAGGTAAGAGTACGCAGGGTCGGCGCCACGAGTGCAAGGAGTTTGTCGACGGCCAACTGGAATCGTTTCGCCTTCTCCGTGCCAGTGCACCCGCGTAGCCGCATATTGGGGGAAACGGGCTCGACGTGTAGGTACTCAGAGGGGATGTCGGCAAGGTACAGATGATGTACACGTCGTAAGTCTTCGGGCACCGACAGGAGCGACTCATACGCGCGCTTGATGCGGGTGATTCCAATGATGGCAAGGTTGCGGTAGCGAAAAGTGCTTGAGATGGCCGACATTCGGCGCGAGGTGAGGGCGAGGGAGCGGGCGGTGACGCCGGTGTCATGGCAAGCGTCCTGGAAGATGAGGTAGAGGAGGTCGTGTGGGCATGTCTCGAGCGTATTCATCTCCTGGTATGGCGCGATTAGCGCGCTGGTGCGTGGTCTTGGAGCGTTGGCGTTGCACTCACGGCGTTGTATCCTGGATACGTTTCCGGTATGCGGAAGCTGCTTCGAGGAGGCAGAGGTCAAGAGCAAGAGGAGACGGGACGCCTGTGTGGAGAACAGATGGCGGAAACAACTGTTTCGAGCTAGCGGCATGCTGATTTTATGCCTGTAGACAGGGAGGGCCGATGGTGGCTGAACGTATTACATACAGAGGGGCGGACGCTGATCTTCGGCCAACTCTATACGAGACCGCGGCAAGTGTCTGAGCCAAGTCTCGCCGCATCAGGAGGCGCAAGGGCTGCCACGACCAACCTCCGCCGCATCTGCGGCGAGCAGAGGCCTGCCATATACACAGAATAACGTTCGAACCATCAGGTTAATCTGTAGGCGCGCAGGCTAGAGTTGCCGAATTAGTACCGCGAGCGCATCTCTGACACAGCCTGCGGGTTCTACCCTGGGTACAGAACTCGCTATGTTCGGTTTCGGAACGCGCGGAAAGGTGAAGACCGCGAGGCGGGAGCCAGCATTTCCGTGACACTTCTAGCGATGCGGCTGTGTCATATCCTGTCTGGCGACTGGTCGGTGAGCCTTGGGAAACCGTGTCGCCGACACAGACCGAGATCAGCGACAGGAAGCAAAGCAACGGACAGATTGAATACGTTGGGCGCGGGCACGCTCATTTCGCATGGCTGATGGGCTGCCACAATACACCAATTGTGTCGGCGGCAACAAGTTTCTGTAGACGTGGGATACTGTATGGGCGGGTACAAGCTGCCGCGGTGGTTGAAGTCGAGAGCAGGGTTCATTCGGTAGTGGTCTCGGCTGGGCCCGCCGCGGGCAATCGTAAACCTTTACTACATGTCCTAAGTTCACTCGAGAGGCTATGAGGTCCTCATTTCATCGTGATGGTACGTAGGATCAAGTTTCCTTCGTCGGAGGAGGCGTGCCGTAGAGCGCGGAGCCCGGTAGAGTGACGAAACGAGGCCGATTTGCGCGCACCGGCCACGCTTGCAGAGTTCAAAATCACGTTGGTCCGTGCGCGAGTCGAACGGATGAGTTCGCGGGCGCTCACGGTCCGAAACCCTTACCACTCTGGCCTTTTGGCTTAGATCAAGTGTAGTATCTGTTCTTAATAGTTTAACCACTATTATGGAGGCACCGCCTCCATTATTGGTTATCTAATTTTTGCCGCCCTTGTTCCCTGGGCTCTGCTTGCAACCCGGGGACGCGATGACCTTGCCGCTGCACTACTGGCCTGTGTCGTCGGGGGATTTTTCCCTTCTCCCCTCTCTTCTTTTGGCTATCTGCACATCCTCGTGTGTTCGCGAGGCCGAGGAGATAGCCAATGGATGGCTGGGAGGAGCGATTTAGGTCCTTACTATGATTTGCTTGAATGTACTCTACGTATTGTGAATAAATTCTATTGATCAGCTCATCGCTGTCTGATATAATAAGCATAATGCCTGAGCACGCGCTTGTGAGCCCTCTTATGCTTGTATTTTCACAGATGAAACTACGCCGGCTCCGTGGCATGGATGCAAGAAGTGACAGCCACTGAGTAGTCGTCAGTCGATTATGTAGTATTGGTGCTTTTCCGGAGAGACCATACGCCTTCTACGTGTATACCAAGGGTAAAGCCGGAGTCTGGAGGGGATGAAACACAGACTTCGCAACCCATGTGACCGTGTATCCGCCACAACGCCAGTGCGCGCGCATAATTGTCCTCTCACCACCATCTCCGTCATGGAAGCGTCTTCTGCTGGCCGATCATCTACGTCGCACACCGTTCGCCACCATCCCTACTTCACCCCCAATGAAGTCGAGCGTCTGTCGCAGAAGCAACGTGGCAAGCTCTCGACGACTCAAGAGGAGAAGGCCAGACAGCAAGCATGCGCGTTCATAGAGGCCGTCGGGAGCAAGATCGGCTTGTGAGTAGGACGGTGTTTTCTTAAAACCGTATATACTCAATTTATAGCCCTCGTAAGACGATTGCAACGGCGCAAAGCTTGTACCATCGCTTCCACTTATTCTTTCCCCGCAAAGACCATGGACTGAATGTGTGTATGATGCGCACAACCATATTCATACGCTCAGCTGACATAGCCCAGGAAGTGTGTCTCGCATCGCTCTACGTTTCTTCTAAGATGCACGATACATTGAAGAAGCCGCGTGAGATTCTCATGGCGTCGTATGCCGTGCGTTTTCCTGAGCTTGCCGCCAAATCTAAATTGGGTGGGGAGATCGACATGGACCCAGGCGTGCGTAACATATTTTATGGCATGGTCGAGCATATCACTAACACTCTATAGGTCGTACTACAAGACCTTCAGCGTCTTCTCGGCGTAGAGCGGCTGCTACTGGAAACAATCTGCTTCAACTTCACTTCCAGAATGTCATTTCCTTATGTGATCAAAGTCGGGCGAGAGTTCAAGGGTAAGAGACCTGAACAGCATACGCCTGCTCCCCATTGACCGTGATGTACAGCTTCAAAGAACCTCACACGACTCGCCTGGCGTTTGGCTGTCGACTGTCATCGGACGCTCATCCCGTTGGAGTACCCTCCCATCGCCATCGCCGTGTCTGGGTTATATCTTGCTTCTCTACTGTCGACATTCGAACAAATACCCGACCCTCCAGACAATGACTGCAGGAGTGACTCCGAGGTCATGGCTATCTTGAGTGAACGAGGACCCTGGGAGCGTAAATTTCAAGTACAGGTTGAGGATCTTGAAGGTACGTATTGCACTCGCTCGAGCAAATACATCTGCTCAAGTACCCCCTAGTTATCGCACACGCAATTCTCGACGTTCTCATTACAGGTGCTCAGAATCCTGCGGCACAAACATCACCCCGCACACCGTCCTCTCCAAGTACGCATTCTGCGCGCACCCAGGCGATGCAGCAGATAGGCTCGCCCTGGAAGTCAGATTACCTGATACGCCTGAAGATAGCTATGCGCGAACGCGAACACGCGTCTCGTGAACGCGCCCCACTACTTGGGCAAGGGAGCGAGGCAGAGCGGCAGTATGAGATCCTGGGTCGCAACGAGGGGACGATTCGCTATCTGTTTGGACCGGGAGGCACGGCATGATATGGGTCATGGGGTATATGTGTTACATGTTGGTGGTCGTGTATGATATCGTCGCCCAGATTCAGAGTCCCGTGACTATACGAATAGTATGCGAATGAGTGAGTTCCTCGAACGCCGCCTTGCGAGGATCAACAGCTTTGATTGTAAATACAAAGAAGTCCTGCGCACGGTTGTTAGATATCAGTAGGCAAGGTTCATACATGGACTACTCACAGCGATGCTCAGTTTGCCCATGTCAAACCCTCCAACAGCCACTGTGGGCTCTATCTGCACCTCGCCTTCGTAGTCCACCGTGTTTACGTCTTCTTCGGATCGATAAACCGGGGGTAGATCGCGCAAGGTACCTTTGCCGACGATATACGAGCGGGCAGCGCTCACGCCGCCTACGGCAATCGAGACTTGTCTCTTGATGTGAACTTCAATGTCGTAGGTTGTGGACTGCGAGGCATGGGTTATCCCCCAGCGCGACCGTGGAGATGAGGTCGGTGCCGGCGGTGCGTGGCAGAGTAGAGCCGACATACTCTCCGAGTGCCCGTGAACTCTGAGAAAGTACGGTATTGGCCCGCTCTTCATTGAGTACACACGCAGAGCAGGCGCATAAAGCTGTGAATCATGGGACATCTATCAGCCCTTGAAAAAGGTAGTAGGCATCGCGGTCACGCACCTGGCAATGAACGTCATGAAAGCCGTTCTGAGGCCGAGCTACGATAACCTCGTCGTACCTTCTCCAACCATGTGGGGGTGTCTCGTCTGTGACTGTTGTATACGGGAAAGGGTAGATCAATGTGTGTGTTGGTGGCACAGTTCGCGGGTCGTAGTTCACTTTCTGGACCATCCTGTCGTACAGCGAGCAAGGCAATCAGTAGGAGTCTGCTAGAATGAATGAGAACCGTACGTACAATTTGCTCGGCATGAATCTGCCTCTCGCCATCTTCACAGACAGGGTGTAAGAGCATTGAACGTAGAGGTCCTTGAGGTTGACCGACTCCATCTCGGGCTCGTACGACGGTGGTAGAGAGTATTCCTTCCCACCGTCGTCAACAAAGGTCTCCGGTATGTCGAACCTAAATGGCATCGCAAAGGGGGGATATTTCTCGCCGTTAGTACCCTTCTCCCATAGAGCGAGTGGTATCTTCAGGAAATGATAGGTGAACATCGGTAGTCGTCCTTCGAGGTCAACGACGATTCTGCCTTCGAGCTGCGTGTCATCAGTACCCCAGAATGTCAAGAGAAAGCACAGCTGCTCACTTGAAGACTGACAGCAGTTACACCATAGGTGCTAGCCAAATGTATTTGGCCAGAGATGCATCCTGCGCGCCCATATCGAGGAATAGGAACACCCTCTAGTTGGCGAAGAAACGTTAGAGTGATCTCGTCCTGGCGTGCGAAGAACGTTCGGCGGGCAGTGTCGGCACATATGGTAGGGCTTGCACCCAAGGACGTCTCTCCAGGAACTGGTTCGGGAGAATAGTCTGGTGCGTCCAAAGCCGGATGGGTGTCTGTGGGCACTGGCGCGGAAGGAGGTAAGTCGGTGAGAGTGTCGGGCGCTGACATAGTTCGCGGCGCTAACGATATGTGAGCCGAATGGTTTAAGAAAGGGTATGAGCAAGCAAAGAACGCAATACGCACCGAGATGTCTGTATTGGCTATGTATAGACTGCTTGTGGAGCATACAAGAACAGTGCGGAAAGATCTGGCGGTCGTGTAAAACGCTCTCTGAGAAGCGCGCCCAGGGATCACTGTGATGAAGGCGCACACCGCACAGGAACCTTCCGGTGAGAAGGGATGGCTCGTCGAACGTCAGGTGCGCTCGCTAATCGCGCAGTACAGGAGCACAGTACACTACGCGCTCTGCTATACGCAGGAGGTCTTATAGTTCCCCCAGCTGGGCACAGTCTATCTCTAATGACAGACGCGGTCGCTTCACCGCGGTGGTTTGGCCTCACTGTGCGACGCGACCTCCGTCGATGCACAAACTTGAAGCGAGACACTCCCCTACTTACGTTCAAGAGTAGCAAGAACAGGGAATCATGACGAAGAGGGAAGCACTATGGATGATGGATGTTCAGATCAACCAACGTTCTACCGCCTTCCCAGCAGCGCGAAGTCGAACTGCGTTCGAGGTTCGGACCGGTTGTACCGGAATGCACGCTAGCAAGCATCATTGACCGCTTGCTCAAGAACCACCATGGACAAATTGGGTGGCGCTATATCCTTCACTGCAGAACATGTTCTTTTCACGCGAATGCGACTCTTGGGTGCCCCTCAACACTGTAAATACGACAGGGGCCTAGATCGAAAGAGCGTACTTTGCGCGGCTTGTGGATTGATCACGGCGCGCGCGCTTTCGCTCCTGCGTGGCTGTCACCTTTATGGTTAGTTGAATGTGTGGATGGATGGACTTGTGTGAAGTATAAAGTATGTGTTACTTGCGAGATAGGCTTGTCCACCTTCTCACCACCTGTCAACCCCTAGATGCCATCTTCAGAGCCACCCTGGCCCCGGACTGCAAGTTGACGAGCACCCACACTCGCCAAGCATGCCATTTATGGAGTCCCTCACTCAGGACATGTCGGTGAGTGCAAAGGCTGAAGTCCTATTACACCAGTCGCGCGATAGAGACTTACTCCTTGGAAAGCAGGCTACCATCGTGACCATGGCGGACGCCGTCGATCATGAATACGGGATTGACAGCCTTCCGCATCCCAAACCCCGGCCTCGCCGTAGGAAGCCTTCAGTCCTCGTACCTTTTGAACTGCGACGTCACGCCCTAAACCCGAACGCCGTAGTTGACTACTGGAAGCCGTAAAGCATCGGTACACACCTTCGCCCAACTCCACCGATGCCCGCATCTTATGCTCCATCTCCACATGCGATCAGCGCTTCGGACATGCTCAGTTACTCGAACGGCATGTCGATATCCTAGCTGCTCGTCATAGGGCGAATACCAAGTTGCGCGGCGCACCGGTGGATACACTTGACCAACTCCATATGATCCTGTAAAACAACAGCGAGTTCGACTCGAAGCGGCTGAGCAGGCGCAGGGAGGAAAGCTCTACGGAGTTTCTATACACGCGTTGTGGTAGAGACTACTCGCGCAGGGACTCCCTGAATCGGCATTTGGAGTCGCGGCCTGCTTGCAAAGGTCTGCGCTCGAAATTGTCGCGGCGCACGCAGTAACCACACTGTGGAAAGCGCAGGAGCCATTGCACAACCACACACAAGATTGTACATGAGACACTCGACTTTGGCCATTGCATAGTCATAAAATCAGATGTTGTCACAGGAGAACTCTCCAGCACTAGCCCTTCACTCGCCTCAGTGCAAGCAGGCATTAATACGCCGTAGTGGAACCAGGCCTTAGTACGCCTTCAAGTGAATCAGGCCTTAATCCGCCTTGATGTCAACCGGGCCTTAATACGCCTTGGTGCAACTGGGCCATACGCCTCCGTGCAAATGATAGTCGTCAATATGAAATGCTATACAAAGTAGAGGCGTTCCGGCTCAATTGTGCCGAAACGCCTTGCTTCCCGAGCAAGCCGCCACATGGGCAGGACCACTCCGTTGCCACATCTATTGTCAGGCCAAGCGGGTACGCCGGATGAAAGGGAAGCCCTCGAAAGTGGTCGTTTCGTTTAGTCGGTATCTGCGCAGCTGGAAGGATCGTCGGTAATGTGGCCAACCCTAACCCAAGCATTGATGTGAGGTCGCGCGCGGCATGCCTCAACCACACGCGCGACGCCACCACCGACTGTATACGTTCTACCCTTTGCACCTACGGCCCGGACTCGACGTACTGTCGCATACACACTGGCTCAAGGCCTAATTATGCTCGCTCATGGGACCGACACCAGTGCATTTCAAGCTTACTCATGACGGACTAGTGAGGCGACGGATCGATGTGGTTGTTGATCGTGTGGTTTGATTCGAAGCGAGGGTTCTTTTGGCAAACAACCACACCGACGTTCTTCGGTCCGCATTCCTCCGACAGACCCAGCTCGCCTATGAAAAGCCCAGGAAGAGCCTGCGGTCAGCAGCACTCACCAACCCCTCTGTCGCCCACTCATGGATATGTCCCTCCCAATTCCCTCCTGGCATCCTCCGCGGATACGCCGTGGGCTGCTGCAACTCGCAGAACCCGAGGTACCGTCACCGTCCCATTCCCGCTCGCCTTCCCCCACCCAGGCGGAACCGACTGTTGAAACAACTACTGTGCGTCGTCTAGCTACATCGCATCTTTGTATTGGAAGCTCACCTATACCTGAACAGGTCTCTAAGAGTACCAAGGCATCTCCCCAACCCCCCGAGGGCACCCGTCTATCCGTTCCCAGACATCGCATCATAGCCCGCCCTCCCATCATACCTTTTTCCGACCGACGCCTAGGGAAAGACCCGACTGCCGTAGTCGACTATTGGGAGTCCGTCAAAGTACGGTACAGACCCGAAGCCGGCGACGCTCGCATCAAATGTCCCGTGGACGTCTGCAACCGCGCTTTCGTCAATCTCGAGATCACTGAACGTCATATCGACACTTTGGCCGCTCATTATAGAGCCCGAGCTGCAGCGGGTGAAGACAACTCGGAGGACGTGCTTTCCTGGCTGCACTTCGAGCTGCAAGAGGACCCCGTCTTCGTTTCTCACAGGATAAGCAAGCAGAAGGCGGCAAGCTCTGCGGCGTTCCGGTGTCATCGCTGCGGCACTGCGTATTCACGCGGGGATGCGCTGAGGCGGCACCTGAACTCACTGCAGGCCTGCAAAGCTCTGAAGATCTGAAGGCCCAGTCGTCAATGTTGCCGCATTCGCCGTAGACGGACTACCGGGACACAAATGGGGAGCAACTCTGTGTCTATACGTATTCATGTGTATATCAAATGTCATTCATGAAATGTACCACCCGTCGTTGCTGTTAAGTATACGATTCGTGTGATCGATCACCAACCACAGCGGCGCGCGTCCCGACGCGTCGTGACGCGCCTAGCTCATGCCTACCTCCGTACTATCATCTCCCACCACACCTTCGCCCAAGTCTGGTGCTCAGACATACACTAAGTGAATGCTAGAAGAATGGCAGCGCCGAATGTGGACTATCATTGCGCCTGTGCATCAGAAGTGACCGTTCCGCCGCCACCGACACTCGCGTCGTCGAGCGCGGCCTTTCATCCTCTACATGAACTGTTCTTCTGCGAAGAGTGCGATGCCGTCAGATGTAACAGATGTGTATCCGTGGAAGTGAGCGGATATTACTGTCCAAACTGTCTATTCGAAGTGCCGAGCGCGAGTGTACGGGCGGAGAAGAACCGGTGCGTCCGTGCAACGCTCGCCAGTTGGAAGGCTTTTACTGAGATTATATCGGATAGATGTGCTCGGAATTGCTTCTTATGTCCTTGTTGTCGGAACACGCTGTCTGTCGTTCCTTCCGATCCTCCAGAAACGGAAGACGGCCGATCCATGCCGGTCAGCGCAGTGGGCGAGCCACCCTTCTTCCTCTACTGCAACCACTGCCGCTGGGATTCGGCCGAAGTGGGAATCACATTCGAGAAGCCCACGGGTCTTGCTGGTACCGTCTTCATACTACATCTCTGCTAGGACTTACGCTGACTATCCAATGATTGCTAGCGCAGTTGCAGAAGTTCGAGGACTCTGCCGCGGATTCTCTCGAATTTGAGCGTTTGAAGGAGCACTTTGAGCCCTTCGTGCTCCGCGCTGGTGCCGCCCAATCCTCCATCACGCCCGGACACTCGTCTCACTCACACCATCATGTCAACCCCATCACAGCCGCGGCCTCTTCCGCGCTCGCGCGCGATATTCCTGGAGTCGCGAAGTATACGCCCGCGCAACCGTCAAGACGGTCGAAGGGCGCACGAGATGAGATGCCGGAGTACAAGGCGCGCTTGGAAGCTAGTAGTGGGAAGGGTGCTGGACTGGGCGGGGAGCCTGATGTCGAGTTTATGCGCAGCCTCGAGATGATTAGCGAGGTGGCATCGTTGGATCAGAGATGGACGAGCAGTTGGGCGACATCTGTCAAGTCGAGGTACGCCATCCGGACACACGCGCGCGCGTCCACGGACTAATGTTTGGACAGCGATGTACGACCAATGCGTATGCCTCTGCACTCAAAGAAATCAAAGCGCTGTCCGGTGTGCCGACACATCCTCATCAAACCCGAGCAGAAGGCCCAGTCCGTGCGGTACAAGATCAAGCTAGTCGCAGCCAACTACATTCCTGCCATCGTCGCCACTTTGCCGTCCGATCCCTCGCGCCGTGGAGACGCACAAGCCGTTACATTACACGCGAATCGAACGTACCCCTTCCAGCTCGCACTGACGAATCCCTTGTACGATCCTGTACAAGTCCGGTTACAAGTCCAGCGTCAAGCACCCCCTCCGTCCGCAGCAGAAGGCGAGGTCCGACGACCACCGTTTGCTATCTCCCTTCCGACCACTGCATTCCCCATCGCTGCGTTCGCGGAAGCGTGGGAGTACGAGGATGACGAGGATATGCTCGACGACGACGAGTTTGGGCTCGGAGGACGCGATAAGGATGCTGGGAAGAAGAACAAGACTGTGGGTGTGCTGGAGCGTAGAGCGAATGTGACTGTTGTCGGAGGCGAGGCATTGATTGGGAAAGACGCCAGAGGAGACCTCAAGGTGCGTTTTCTCTTGCTCTTTACTCTAGCCGGTCTTCGGGCACTCATCGGCTATCTGTGCAGTTCAACATGTTGGTATCGTACACGTACCGGTCGGACGACCCGCTCGCGGAGGATGACGTGCGTGCGACGCCCTCGCGCAAGGCCGCGCAGCCCGAGATGAAGACGTTCTCCTTTTACACGGTGGTGAATTTGGGGAACATCATCCCGCGCGAGGAGCAGCAGAGGGTTGACATGGATCTTTGATCACAGCTGGCATATCTCCGTTCTTGCTGTACACCAGTGCTGGTGGCGCTCGCTTCGTATACTACTTGTAGACATACATGTTCGCATTCTCAGTACCGAGATTCGTTATGTAATGCTCGAAGCACGGCGTTGAAGGGCGTTGACAGCGCCTGTCAAGTTGTCTTGGACCGCCAACACACACACCGGGCGCATTGTTCGGAGGAGGGCACCAATGAAAACGCCGCCCCTTGTATCGTCACTCCGAGAAGCTGTATATGGATCAATCGTCCCTGAGAAAGAGTTGATAGAGAGGATCGATGATGATTGGTTGCGACGCTGCGCAGGGTTGCAACAGGGCGCGCCCAAGCACGAGCTCGCTCCCTCGATATCAGTCAGGCCGTCCAGTGCCTGTGCACGCTTTGCTCCTGCCTCTTCCTTTTCATTTCCCCTCATTTCCGCTTCATGACTGTTTGACTGTACTACTTGCCAGGCGCAAGCAACACCCACCCCCTTTTCTTTTCTTTCTAACGTCTCAGTACTGGGCGCCTTTTTATCACATCTTCAACACTTCTTCTACTCGGCTCTATCCTAGCCTCTGCGGCAACAAAAGCAGTACCTCTACCCAGACATGTCCAGCTCTCAAATGCCAAGTAGCGCTTCCTCGAGCACCATGCCCCCCACACAATCATCGCCACGGCCTCAGGCCGCGCCATTACCGACGAAACGCGGGGAAATCGGGTACGACGAGGAGGCGCACGGGCGTGCAATGGCACAAATGGACCAACAAATCGCGGCGGAGCGGCCGCAGGTGGCCATGGGCGAGCGCCATCCCGCAGACCTACCTCCAGAACGGAATGCCCCTGCCGGCCCACCCGCAGAAGCGCCCGCGAATCCGGCTGCCGCCGCTAGCACGGACAACGTTTCCATGTCAAGCGCCGCTGCTAGGATGGCGAAGTTCAAGAAGATCCGCGCGCGTCATGTTGGAGGTGTCACCATAATCTCGTTCAGTGCGTCTATTTACCCCCTACGGCTATTAGGCTTATTCTAACTGTCTTGCTTAGTCAAACTCATCCTTAGTATCTTCGTACTTTCCGGAACGGGCGTCGGATGGGCATTCTCTATCATTATGCTCAACAAATCCTCGAACAACGTCGACCCGAACCAGGTCGATACCGGTTTCTCTGGCACGAATTCGCAGATCTTCGTACATGTCGCATTCGGAGTGATCACCCTGGCCCAGTTTGTCCTCCTCGAGCGCTTGATCTTCCGCGTCCGCGCCGAACGGTATGCGTTCAAGCATCCGGGCGAGATGCTGCGGCGGGGTGGGCGTATGAACACTTCCATGCCGATGGTCTGTAGATCTTCACCGGTGCAAGCTGTGGACGCAGTGCTGACCAGAATCCATTGATTTTCAGGCACCGTGGCAACGCCCTCCGCTTCCAACATACGCAGCCGCGCTCGCGCAGAGTGGCGTACGTACCGGAGACGTCGAAGATGGGCTGATCGCCCAGCCCCCACCTCCAGCATACGGGAAGACGCGCGGCAGCACGCTCTTGTTGCAGGGGTTCCTCAACACCGAGCATCGCCAGCGTATACAGATGTATGACGAGGAAGCGCAGATTGACGCCAACGGAAACCCGATAGAATCACGTCGGGGAAGTCGGGGCAGCCTCGGTTCCAACTCCGTCGTCATGGTTCAGCATCCCGACCGTCCCGTCAGCTATAGGGAGAACGACCCGGAGTGGCAAGAGTTTATGGATGCGCAGCGTGCTCAAGCCGTAGAGCAGGCTCTCGCGGCCATGGAGGGCACTGGTGTACCTCGCGCTCACATCAGCGATCGGGATAGGCCGTAGGGCGTATAACGATTGCCTTTTGTGTTCTGCCGTCTGTTTTGCTTCCGCGTTTCGTTGATTGTGAGAGGACAAGGACCCCGCGTTTTGTGTGGCCCATCATGTTGTGGAGAAGAGGGACCGCTATTGTTGAACGATACGTGCGTCAATCTTCCCGCTCATCTCTCCCGCGACAGTGCAGAACCTGATGCTGGGATGCTTTGCAGTGCTGTTGTTCACTCCACTCTTTGGAATTGCTGATTGCTTACGCCTGTGGACGTTGTACCATTTGTGTCATTTATTGCATCTTATTTCCCTCTCGCTCCCGCTAGGCGCAGCGCCTTGCTAAGCAGCAGTCAAGACGAGTCAAGCGGCTGGAAGTTATGGCCCGAGGGCGGCGTTCGGAACCGTCATACCGTCGGGCACGGACTCAATACGCGGACATGTCATCATCAATCTGCGTTCTTGATTGGTTCGTTCCCCACAACGTTCACTCGCAGATCGCCGCAGGCGCCTTTCACCTCGCCGCAAGACCTGCGCGAGGCTCCGCGCACTACGGCTGCCAACCTCCCAGTGAGTGCTGCGTTGTGCTCGGCGCTGTCAGAGGTCAAGCTGCGAGCTTATTTAGCGCGTCACCTGTGGCACAAGACTCATTGACTCGCATTTGTCCGGCTTTGGACAATACGGATGATCTGTGCGAAGTCAATTGATTGGTCTCGAACGCGCGCTTCCTAGACCACCGCTGCGGTTGTTGTGTTTCACAGGCTGGGAGTCACTCATCTGACATAGCCACCCTCCCGATGAAAGGCCACGCGTCAGACTACGACCGTTCTTATATACGCCAGGCCTCACCGTCAAAGGATCGGCCCCGTTTTCATCTCCTACACGCCTCCCTTCAAAAACGGTCATGAGCGCCACCGCCTGTGCAACTGCGTCGACCTCTGCTACCACCGCTGCGCCCTTGACCATGTCGCTGCCCGACTTCCTGCTGCCACCGCCTCTCTACTCGGTCTCTGCCGCCGCGCCACAATACTCTACCGAACCTGGACCCAGCGAGCAGCGGCTCGCTATCACGTCGCGCAAGCCCGGACGGCCGTCATTGGGAACATTGCGAAGGAGCCATAGCGGAATCGTCATCGCACTTCTCAACCAAGATGAAACAGCCGACGCTCCCACCTACGGTCGCGGCGGTTATATTGCTGGCGACGTCGAGCTAGCCAGCAACCAGAACATACTGTCTGTCACCGCAACTGTAAGTTTGGCTTTTGGATCGCATCCGCTCTCTCAAGCTTACCATTCTTCTATCAGATCGAAGGTCGACTCGAGCTCACAGTCGCTGAGCTAACCGAATCCGAGGCGCCGTTCCTTTCCGTCTCGCAAACGCTATGGAAGGCAGACGGCACGTCGACATGTCCGTCTGTACTACCATTTGAGCTGCTGCTACCGGAGACGTTTCAAGACCGCGTTGACGAGCGTACTCGTCCGCTACCGCCTTCATACGACCCCCACTCAGACGGCATCAACATGAAGAGCTTGAGCGCGCGCGTTGAGTACCGCATTGTGATACGCGTCACAAAGGCAAAACTCGGCAAGATGCTCTGGAAACCTTCGAAGTCGCTTACCGTGCGGATGAACTACGCGCCGCGATCACGCCCACATCAGCCCATCCTTGCCTCGCCTTTCCCATTCCTCGCCGGCACGCTCAAATCGCTGCCTGAAGAGTGGATGCAGATATGCGCGATCATGTCCGCCACAGAAAGGGCGCCTCACCTTACCGACATCGACTGCCACCTGTTCATTCCCGCGGTCCAGATATACGGCAAGACGGACTCGATCCCGTTCTCTCTGCAACTTCGCGCTCCAGCGGCGAGCTTGCAGGCTCTTCTGCGCCCCGCAGCACCTTCTATGTCCGCGTTGGCTCTGCGCCGTATGCACACTGCGTCGTCCGCAGACCGTGCGGAACCAACACTGCGCGTCTTCATTAGGCGCCAAGTCGTGGTGAACGCCCGTGGACAGCGCGTTGCGCGGTCATACATCATAGGCGAGGGCGTATTGCGCGAGGTGCCACCTGGAGCTGCGCCTGTGAACGTCGCAGCCGAGGAAGGGTGCGAGGCCGTGGACTACGAAGGCGAGGTCCGCTGCGCGCCAGAGGTCACTGTTGGCGGTTTCAGCACGGCTCGCTTAACGGTCTCCGACTTCCTCATGTTTTCGATCGTGCCTGCTGGTGCTTCAGTAGACTCGTTTGCTGAACTCAGCAAGGCCCATCCGATCCGGATTGTAACTGAATCTTACCGCGCCGCTACCTAACATCGCTCTCCTCGGAATTCTTTTCATCGAACCTTTACCCTACGCGCGTAGCTGCTCTTATTGCCCCAACTTTCTCATTACTCATATTTGTGTCGGCTCACGATCTCACGCATATACTCTACTCATCAATACCTCTGCATGCCAATGTCTCGACCGCTGCATTTGTCTCACCCAGCCTCATCCATGGCGTACGCCTCATTGTCTCCCTACGTTTACATATAATATTATGTGATCCAGTCGCAATCATCTGAAGCCCTGATGCTATAGATACGATCGATGGTCCAATGCTCTACTTCAGGGAGGAAACGGAGGACTAATGCCTCGGGGCACGATAGAATCGCTGAAACGTGCGATAGCCTCCTCCTGATGCATGGCACTGGCAGCTAGCCTTGCTACGAAGTACTGTTCACATGTATCGCGACGGTGCTTTTCTCAAGGCTTTTGTCTCCTTCCATCGCAATGTATACTTACATACTTGGACCGAATATGGGCTAGGAGTGCCATACTGGGCCCATCTTGATGGCTTTGAGCGGATGCGATCACCGTGCGACTCCCTGCAGCAACCACCACCACCTACCCTGCCCCTATCTATTCCCGGTGGCTAGGCTCTTTCCTTACGACCCCAGAGCATCTAGTACACGAGTCTTCGATGAGATGACTTGAAGGAACGACGGTGAAGGGCTGGATGGGTTGG